TGCCCTCTGCACCCAGGTGCGAATCGTCACTGACCCCAGCTCTGCGGCCATCAAGCTGGTGGTGCTCAAGACGGCCTACCCTGGCGCTGACCTGGCGAAGATCCTGCAGGAGAAGCCGGGTGGGCGGGGTCTGCGCGTGCCTGCCTCTCTTGATTGGCGGAGGGGAGGGGAAGTGAGGAGCGACGGGTGCACCACATGCACGCGCACGCAATGCACATGCATACCGACACATTCAGGTGCAGGCGTAATTGCGTGCACGTTTGCACACACAAGCACGCGCGCATACACACACACACATATTCACACACACGTCATATAACATGCACACGCCCCGCCCTCCCCCAGGCCTGCTGCTGCAGGACGTGTCGGTCCTGGAGTCCAACGCGCGGCAGGTGCACAGCCTGCTGGAGGGCGCCAGGGACAGAGACGCCCTGCTGACCGCGCTGCCGCTGCTGCTGGAGCCCCGCACCCTCATCTCGGTCCTCATCACTGTGGTGCGCGCGTGTGCGGCATCCGCGCCCACCATGCTGTGTCGGCCAGTGACATCATGGCTCATGCTACTTTGTCGCGATAATCTTGAATTGCGAGCCAATAAACGCGTTTCCCCCCCTGCCTGAACCCCCACCCAAAGGGCTTTGCGTTACACAGCAGCCCCCCCGCTCCTTCGCCCCCCATCCGCTTGCCCCACCAAACCCCAGGAGAAGTGGTATTTCAAGAAAAAGGACCCCATAGCCGTGCTGGAGGCCGACCCAGACCTCATACGCCGCGCTGAGGTGCGCCTGCGCCTGAGGGGTGCGGACTCGAGTCACCCTGACCTACAGTAATTACGCACCTGCATGCCGTACGATGCCCTGTCAAGCGGCGCCTCCTGGGCCAAGCTGGTTTGATCCCCCGCGGCCTGCATGAGCCAGTTGCAACCCCCACCTCCACACATTAACAAGCTTTTTTTTCCATCCTGACCTCCTTGCCCCCGCCTTTTCCCGCCTCGACCCCCAGCCTCACCCTCCTCAACCCCTGCCCCCCCCCCAACCCGTTGCAGGCGTGCGACGTGCCCCTTGAGCCGGTGTACATAAACGAGGACGGCAGCTGGATGGCCCCCAGCCTCAACTATAAGGTGGACCGCAGAGCCGCACGGCTTGCTGGGGCGGTCGGACGGCTAAATCAGCGCCTTGGCTCACAACAGCCAAGCATGCACTTTCCTGGCCTGCAGGATAGGGCAGCCTGTTGCTTGGGTCGGCCGGCGCAGCCGGAATCGTGCAGCGCAGGATTCTCGTTGAGGGCAGTCGCCCTGCAGTGTCCGTTGCGGGGTGAGGTGCTTTGTCCAACAGACTGCTTGCCAGTGCCGCTCATCTGCCCCCTTTGCGGCTGCCCTGATCGCCTCCTCAGGAGAAGCGCACCGACTGGCAAGCCTACATTGACCGCACGGTCTACAAGCAAAAGGACTGAAAACGTGTTGATTATAAATCTGCCGGTTCGTGGCTTCTAGGCAACAGTGTGCCCAGGAGTGGGGGGTCCTGTAAGGAATAACATTATGTGCAGTGGTTGACGCAGCGTGCAGGCGCCACATTCTGGTGCCAGTGGCTGGCCGGGGCCCGAGCCCCGCAGACAATGTTTTTTGCTTCACACGCACGTTGTGTCCCCGCTGATGGCGCATCTTGGCCCAGAGGCCGACCCACAATATGCTTGCATGATGGCTTCACTATTGTCCCTCTGGGGTGTACAACAGGCCTTGCGTGACGTGAATACACCAAGCTCGGCTGCCTTGCTTCCGGTAACAGCATAATGAGCCCTGCGCACCAGCAGAGTGGTTACGACACGCAAGCCGTGTGCTGGGTGGTGCACCCTGCCAGCGAGCCAGTTGTCAGGCAGCGAGGAAAACGCTGCCATTGCATTGACACCCACCCCTGCTGCCTGTGCAGAATGATGTGCAATCTGCTGCATGCCATCTTTGAACGCCGCCTCTTTCATGTGTGCAGCAGCGGCGGTTGCTTGATCAACCACGTGCTTCATGGAGGCTGGATGGCGTGTCAGCGCCACTGTTGTACCGCTCCCCAGCAGCCGCGGAGTTGGCCACCAGCGCAGGTGGCGCACAGGCTGCACTCACATGATCATACCCGCACCACGACTGGACCCAAAAACCGGCGCCACCGTGCGCACAGAAAGGACGCAGCTCGAGGATGCCCACAGCAGTCTGGACAACATTGTACAGTATCAGTAAGCTTCACCACTCATATGCCTTCTGCGCCAGCCTCCCGAACAGCTCCTGAACGATGAAATTCACAGCGACAGCTGTGGGCAGGGTAACTCGAAGCGTGTCTTGCCATCGGCCGGTTCATTGCATTCAAAAAGTTGTCGGCGATACCTTCTTACAAGGCGTACATTCCTGCAACCCAACTGGGCCACGGCGAGATCCACAGCGTCGGGTAGCGCGAGTGGTGGCTTGAAGGACGCGGATGCATGTCTGTACGCCAAAGAAATCGAGTGTGGGTGCTCTTCCTGCTTGTGTCCACAACCACAGGTGTGTGCACCGAACGGGAAGTCCGGGGGCGAAGGCCGCAGGGATGGGTCGCACGCGGTGCTGACGCCGAGTCTTGATTGTCAACTACACACTGGTGACGCAGGTACTGCCGAGCGGGACTGCAGCGCGGGCTGTCCGCTGACTCCTGAGTCGCACCCAAAAAGCGGCGTGGCAGGTCCTGTCTGCGGCGCCAATGGCGTTACGTTCATCAATCAATGCGTCGCCGAGTGCTCGGGCCGCACAACTGTAGCCTATGATGGACCCTGTGCAGTGGTTGGCCGCGGCGGTGCGGCGGCAGCCGCAGGCGCACCCTACGGGGCGGCGATTGCAGCCGCGTCAGTGCCGCCGTCGCCGCCGTCCATCTCTGCGACCGCCTGGGACCCTATCGCGCGCTTCCTAGCAATCGATGGCAGCAGTGGAGCCGCAGCTCTTGCGGGGGGCAGCGTCGCGCCCCGCCTCGTCAGCGCCAAAGCCATGAGGCGTTTTGCAGACGAGGGTATGGTCCTGGTTGGCCCGGCCAGCCTGGCGAACTTCCAGCCCACAAAGCCTGCAGATGACCCAAGCGGCATGTGGGTGTTTATGTGTGTGATCGTGCGTGTGGGTGCGAGAAAGCGTGTGTGTGAGAGTGAGAGAGACTGTTATGGTGTAATCGTGCGCAAGTGTGTGTGAGAGAGCGTGTGTGTGTGAGTGAGTGAGAGAGGGAGAGAGAGAGAGAGAGAGGGAGAGAGTGTGTGTGTTTGTGTGTGTGTGTGTGTGTGTGTGAGTGTGAGTGTGAGTGTGTGTGTGTAAGTCTGCGGCACCCGTGCTTGCACGCAGGTGCATGCACATGTGAGTGCAGACACGTAGCACCCACACTTGATGCAGCTGCCATGCACAACGCGCGCCAACGGCCCGCCCAACACGCGCTGTTCTGCCCCCCCACCCTGCTGCCTATCTCAGCCCGCTCTCGCCCGGCCAGCGCGCGAAGATGGACTTCCGCACTGTGCGGGTGCTGCCTGGAGAGGGGCTGGTGTATGCCTCGTCCGAGCCCTTCCGTGTCTCCGCCAAGGATGACGCCGTGTCAATGGTGATGCCCTCGCGGCCAGGGTCAAGCCCCAGCAACCCCAGCAGCGGCGACAGCAGCAGCGGCAGCGGTGGCGGCGGCGGTGGCGGCGGCGGCGGTGGCGGCCGCAGCGCGAGCGCGGCATCAAGCGCCGCCACACCGCAGGCAGATGGGTTGACGGCCGCAGGCGGTGCAACCATCGTGCTGGACATGCCCGGCTGGCGGCGCGTCACCCAGGCGGCGCCCGGCCTGCCCCTGACAGCCATAGGGATGATCAGCGGCTACTGGAGCGTCTCGGGGGCGCTGCTGTGCACGGGAACGCTGATAGGCCGGCACGCCGTGGTCACGGCAGCGGTGAGTGACGGATCGGAGCAGCAGGGATGGCACTGCTCAAGAGGGCTGGGAGGCGGGGCCGGCGGGCTGGCGGACCAGGCAGCAAACTGGGCCCGGCTGGTAGGCGCCTGTCACGGCGGCCGCTGTCCTGGGCTGCAACCGTGCGTCTGGCGTCAGACAAGCTCAGATGCGTGCTTGCGACCAGTTTGCACTGCATAGCTTAGTCAACATCGTTGGTCTGCTCACTTGTGTTGGTGTTGCAGGTCTAATTGCTTCTCTGCGGATCACCGGCAAATACGAATCAATGCATCTGTTCAGCCCACCCACCAAGCAACCAACCAACAAAACAAACACCCACCACCAATCAACCAACCGCCAACCATCCTACCACTCGCCGAACCCGCAGCACTGCGTCTACAGCCGGGCGGACAAGGCGTCCCTCTACGCCGCCGACTTCATCCCCCACTCCTACTGCAACTCCACCGCGCCCTGCGCCGGCGAGTTCGTTCGGCCCTTCGGCTCCTCTCCGGTCTACTCATACGACTTTTTGACCGGCTGGCGCACCAGATCGCTGGGCGGCGCGTGGTCCTCAGACATGGCTGTCATCACGCTGTCCAAGGATATGGGCGGCGCTGCGGGGACGATGGGGTTTGCGTACAGCAAGAAGGGCTTCGCCGGGCCGGTCGGCGCGGCCGGGTACCCAGCGGAGCTCTTTGGCGAGTCGACCATAAACGTGAGGGCGGGCTCGCGGGCGGGGACGCGCACGCCGGGCCCGGCGGCGGCGCCTGCAGGCTCCGGGCTGTGCCACCGCGGCAGGTAGCGAGGAGAGGGCGCTGCCGTGGAACTTCGCTGCCGTTTTTTTTGTTCGAGTTTGAGCAGGGGACTAATCCCCCCCTGAACACGCGGCATGAGTGCATTCTGGCTGCTGTGTCCGCACAAGTCGAGCCTCTCACTCAAACGCACCCGCAGGGTGACCTGTACACGCTTGCCGGGAACTGCAGCGTCAAAGACACCTCCGGCTCCAACAGCCGCCTCGACTTCCGAATGTGGCCCACCCCGAAGCGCAACCCCTGCTTCACCGGCTGCGCCATCAGCCACGGCGGCCAGAGCGGGCAGCCCGCGTTTTCCCGGGATGCGGACGGCTCTTACGTAATCCACGGCGTCCTGTCGCGGGGGCCGCCGCAGACCAAGTGCCGCGGCTATGGTGAGGCCCCGCAGCGGAGGGGCCTCTCGTCTGGGCCTTCACCGTTGTCGCAGCGCCGCCGCCGACTCGCGCGCAACCTGCCTGCTTGCGCGCTCGCCTGGGCGCCTGCCTTTGCGAGCGCCTGCCTTTGGTATATGCGTGCACGGCCTCCACGCCTCGCAAGCCGGGCCAGGGCGGATTAATGAAGCACGCTGTATGTTACGCCCAAGCCTGGGACGCCCCCTACGCAGGCGCGCTGTGACTGTCTCCTACCTGTTTGTGTTTGAACCAATTTTGAACCGACCCCCTTGACAAATTTTGCCTGGCCCCCCAACACAATCCACAGACATCTACACCCAGATCAGCCCCGAGACCTTCAAGTTGTTGTCAAAGGTGAGGCCCCCCCTGAGACAGAGCAGCCACAGCAGCCGCTTGCCGCAGCAAGGGCTCGACCATGCGGCACCACCGGCATCACCACCGCCGCCGGGCGCGCCGCGGCTGTGTGTGCACAAGCACCATCGGTCTGGAGGCAGCACCCCTCGGAGCCACCTGCTATGAGCATGCTGCGCAGCCGTGAAGCAATTCGCACTTCTTCACGACCCAAGTATTAATTTCCTTATGTTATGCCCCCAACTTTGCAGTACGTTAACTGGTCGCCTCCCACCAACTGAAGATCGCGACAGCTCGCCATCCCCCGCTGTGGGGCTGCTGATTGCGCTGGGGAAACCCTGCCGCCTCCCTTGCTCCATTCGCGCTCTTGCTGGATGCGCAATCTGTCCTGGAAACGGGATCATCTGTCCCTGGGATTCTGCAATCATGCCAGCGCGCGGCGCCCCCGTGCGCCCTTCAAGGACTGAGCCACAAGGGGTTTGGGGCTTGAAAAAACGCTTTGTGCTTGGGGCACGTTGATTGATCGTGCTGGGTGACGGTTTCTGCTGCCCGCATGCCCACACATGACGACACAACCTGCACCAGGCCGCCTGGAAGGGGCGCCTGCTCGAGCCGCTGGGACTTGCAACCATAGTCTTGCATTTGTCGCGCGGGATGGGCTGCCTTACACGCAGGCCTGCGACTATCTAGAAGCAACTTTTCGGGTCTATTTGCCAGTCCTCCAAACACATGTCTGGTGCCGTACTCGGGCCGCCCGGCCGCCAGTGTTGCTGAAAAGGCAATGCAAAGCGACGTTGGTCCCTTCACCAGCTCTCATGCACATGTCTGACGCCGCACATCCTGCTGTTCCCATGCCGTTGTTGGACGCACACGGCGCTGTTGGTCAGCCGCCACCTCAATGCACGAGGCTTGCACTCGAACGCTCTTCAACGCTTTTCAGTACCCCCAGGGCCCAAACCAATGTTCGCCAACAGATGCCGTGCCCACTGTTGCACACGCAGTCCTACTCATTGCCCATTGCGGGCGTGCTCACTTGACAACCCCCAAGCATCCGGAAATCACTGCCGTAAATCACCTGTAGCCGTTAATTGAATCATCTGCAGATGCAGGGCAGCAGGACACTCTGGAAATAAACAACATACTCCAGCCCCCCCCCCCTCCGGGGCGCTGTCACCCTGACCAAGGATCTCGGCCCTATGGAAAACACAGCAGGGGCCAGCTCAACTCTTACAACGGTAGTCAAGTCGAAAGGAAGATTGAGGCAAGCACAGGGTCTGTGCAGGATCTACAGGCAGGAGGCGCTAAACGCAGCCGCCGCCGTGGAGACATCACAAAGGCATGAAACCTCAAGACCGGAACAATCTGGCAGTCCCTGGCAGCCTCCCTTTGCAGTTGCGGCAGGAGGAGCGCGGCAGCCCCCCCAGACAGTCCCAACAACGCCACCTGATGCAGACGCCTACTGGCGGCGGGGCGCGCGCAATTCCACTTGCAACCACCGCTCCCTCATCAGATGCGCCGCTTGCCCGTGGCGGCAAGCGCCTGCACCCTCCTGCAACGGCAGCGGTGGTTCCGCCGCGGCCGCGGACTCAGCCGCGGTGGACGCTCGGGGACGGGTACGGGCGCGGCGCCGCCGGCGGGCCCGCGGCGGCCCCGGTCTCTGCGGCGTACGCGTAGGCCGCGTCCGGCTGCTCCACGATGGCCCCGGGGGCCTTGTGCCAGGGCGCGTCGGGGCGGTCAAACACGGCGTGGACGTCGGAGCGGGTGACGGCCGAGGCGTCGCGGTCCATGGCCCAGGCGACGTAGCTGGGGGGTGGGGCGGAGCGGTGGGGGTTTTGGGATTGGAGGTTAACGTGTGAGGTGGGATAGGCAGGGTGGCGGAGGGTGGTGGTGCATGTTGCTGGGAGTGTGCAAGGTGGACGCCGGGCAGACAACGGGCAGGAGAACGGGGGGCGGCAGGATGGTGAGAGGGGGGGCGGGCGGGCGAGGCGCGGAGGTGCCAAAGTGCCGGCGGCGGCGGCGCTGAGGGCTGCGGTAACTCACGTTGCCTCCACCATGTTCAGCAGCACTGAAGGGGAGGGGTGGTGGGGTGTTTGGGGGGTTTGGCGGTGGGGATGAGTGGGGGATGAGAGAGGCTCGCAACCACATGAGAGGCGCGGAGGGCAAGTCAAATCCCCCCTGATTGTGAGCGGTCACACCAACCGTGCAGCCTCCAAACAAGCACGCATGATTTCCTCAGCTGCAAGAGATGAGACAAGCAGCCGAAGTGCAGCCGAGGAACAGCGCGAGACACCCTTGGGGCAGCAACACCAGGGCCCCAAGCCCGCCCCGTCGCACCGCCTCCGCCACGCCCCGCTCACCGCCGTTGAGGAAGGCGAGCGTCACCAGGGCGCACACGCCCGACAGCGCGCCCACCACCGCCCCGCTGGCGACGGCCGCCTGGCCGCCACCCCAGTAGGCCGACGACGCCGCGAATGACAGGATGCCCCAGGCCACGGCCATCATGGCCGCGGAGCTCTGCAGGATGAAGCCCGGCAGGAACCACACGCCGACCTGGGGGGGGGGGGGCGGGAGCGGGAGGGGCCGCCAGTGGAAGGCGAGGGGGCACGTGAGAGCGCATGGAGGTTGCCGGCCTTAGCGGGGCTGTTGGGCGGGCTCGAAGCGATCACGAATGCAGTAGAAGCTTGTAACGAATGACGGGCCTGTTTCGTGCACCGCCTGGCGGGAGGCGAGCATGAGGAGGCCCGCAGGCGGGCGGCAGGCGGGCAGGCGGGCGCGTAATGCGCGCGCACCGTGTCCAGGGCGTTGCGTGAGAGCAGGTTGACGATGCCGTGGCAGGCGTCCATGAAGGCCTCCCCCGTGATGGCGGCGCGCACCACACCAAACTTGGTCACCTGCCGGGGCGGCGCGAGGGCGTCGAAACGGGGCCTGAGGGATGGGCTCTTCGGCATCGGGTTTTAACAGCGGAGAACCACACCGTTTGTGTGCATGGCAGCACGCGGGCGCGCAGATCACTGTTGCGCTGACGCGGGGCTCTGCGCGCCAGAGCCCTGGGCCCTGCAATGTGGCAGTGGCCCGCGGCGCACCCCTCCCAGCAACACAGGATCCCTGCACGCGCTGCCGGGTGGCGCTGCGGCCAAGGCGGGCGCGGCCCACCGCCTCGAAGAGTGCGTAGATGAAGTCGAGGCATGACGTCAGCAGCAGCGCGCAGAAGTTGCCCTCGTTGTCCTGCGGTCGTCGCGGTTAACGGTTGGTGGGGCGCGGCGGCGTTGTTGGGCAGGACTATGCGCGACGGAGGGGGCGCGAGCTGGAGGGTGTCGCCCGCCCCTTGATTTGCACGCGCTGTGGTCACACATACCAGAGCCTGGTCAACAACGCACCACAGATCTGTCGAGCAAAATCAAGAACCCCGCCAGACCATCCACCTCACCGCCATTTGCAGCCCATACTCATCAGATGCTACGGTGCGCCCAAAAACCCCCGAAAACAAAGCATGAGCCAGCGCGCCTGCGACACATTGAGCGCCTATATTCCCTCCCCACACAGAAGCACACCTGGCGTATCTTGTCCAGCGCCGCGCGCGCGTACTGGATGAGCGTCAGCAGCCAGCTGGCCAGCGCCAGGCTGCCGAAAGACGCCCCCAGGGCGTGGCGCGCGCTGCGCAGCGTCGCGCGCTTGGGGGCGCCCGCCGCCACAGGGGCGAAGTACCTGTTTGTTTTGGGATGAAAAGGAAGAGTCAAAATTAGGGGGGAAAGTGTGGGCTTTCGGGTTGAGAACGAGGGGAGAGTACACGTAAACCTGGTCACCAGAGGGGACCCTGGACAGGTTGGGTCGTGAACATGTTCGTGTACAGCCGAGGAGGCGGCCCCCTGACGCCCGACATGGCCAGCCGCGCTGATTTTGGGCAGGCCCGCCGCCACGCGCAGCCGCCCGCTGTTCCGCTTGGCAAAGGCACGCGGGGGGTGGGCGGGGGAAGGGGGACGGGGAGGGCAGCATGCGGCCGCGCGCGGCGGGCGGCGAGCGGGGTCGCCAAACGGCCGGCACTCTGCCTGCTGTGGGGCGCGCAATGAACGCACCACTGAGCGGTGGCGCCGGCGATGGTGTAGAGCTTCACGGTGAACACCAGCAGGGTGGTCCTGGGGTGACACAGGGTGACGGGTGGGCGGCCGGCGGTCACGAGGAGGGGGGGTGCGGTCAAAAGTGGCGGGCAGAGCCGGTGTGGTGGGCATGCGCCGGGTAATGAGAAATAGACGCAAACAAAAGCTTCTGCACCAGCCACTGGGCTGTGGCGGCTGCCACGAATAGGTCAAGGTAGCCGTTGCAGGGTGACCGTACGGACTCGCCCCCTCCACTGAGCAACACAAAATATTGATGCGATGACGTGGCAGCACTCACCACGTGGTGACGAGGGCAGCGTAAGCCAGGTACCCAGGAACCCACGAGTCAACCTTTAGTCAAACGTGCAGCAGGCAGGGGGGTTTGAGGGTCGGTCACGACGGGCGTTCCAAAGACGCGCTGACTGAGCAGCTCACAGACTCCTGCGCAGACCTGCGATTCAGGTCCCCCATCCACATGGGTCACAACTGCACTCGTGATTTATTCTGCTCCAACCGCAGGACCGGCAGTTGCATGTGTTCGTGGCTGCAGCCCCCCTGCCTGCCCCCACCTGCCACGTGCAGCAGACCACCTCGTGCCCGTCCGCCCCCAGGCACTGCCCGGCGTCGATGCTGGCGCGAGAGGGGTTGGGGATGACGTGGCCGTTGGTGAAGGCGAGCAGCATCATGCCGCCCAGGGGCACCAGCACCAGCACGCCTGCGGCGGGACGGCGGGAAGTCAGACGCCGGGTGGGTTGGGGGAGGGGAGAGTATGATAGTGATGTGCTCACGTCCGCCACTCACTAATATTGGCGTCGACGGCAAGGTGCCCAGAAGAGCGCCGAAAGCTTCGAGGGGCCGCTCCCGCCTCTGCAGCCCAAGAAAACGGGCACGCGCACGCACACACACACACACACACACACACACACACACACACACACAAACACACACAAACACACAGTGCTCGCCGGGGCGCGCTGGCGGCATAATTAACCGCAATGCCCTGCCCTGCCCAGCCCAGCCCAAATTGCGTTTCAAAAGTCGGGGTTCAGGATTCAAGGCCTGCTGCTGCCAACACGGCGTCAGCAGCACCGCAATACAGCAGGGACGACCGGCTCAAGGGCTTGGGAGGCGGGCCGAGAGGCTGCAGGGACACCCACCGAGGAGCTGCAGGAGCAGCGCGGCCACGATGATGCCCGGCTGGTCGGCCAGCGCGTGAACGCTGATGGACAGCAGCCGCGCCACCAGCACCAGCTGCGACCGGTACAACCACACAGTGAACGCCAGCGCGGCCGCCAGCAGAGCAAACGGCACGCCGGCGGCGGGGGCGCCGGAGAGGAAGGCGGCGACGGCGATGCCGGCGGGGATGGCGACCTGCGGGGGGTGCGGGCGCGGGGGCCGGGGTTGGCGAATCTCGGCTCACGCAGGTTGCTGGCGTCGAAGGACAAGGCCCGCCCCTTAAAACAGGTGTGCGTATACATCCAGCCCAGCAATGGCGCTCCCTCTGATGGATTCAGCCAAAATGAGACATCATGCCTGACTCCGCTGGTGCTATGGCACAGCCTCCCCCCACCCCCCAACAACTACTGCTGAGGCGGCGTCGCCCACCTGCAACCCGACCGCGAAGTGCACCATCCCGACGGACGAGCGCTTGAACAGCCACAGGGACAGCAGCGCCAGCAGCACGCCGCCGCCGATGCTCACGCCAGTGCAGAGGCCTGGGTTCGGAGGCATCGAGGGTGCAGGAGGCAGTGTGAGAGCGCGGGTCGCGGCCGGCCGGCGCCGCCGCCCCCGCGGTCCCTGCACGAGCGTCACCTACCGGCCGCCTCTCATCGCACCGGCGCCCGTGCTGCATCCGCAGCGCAAACACCCAGCCGCGCCTCGCGCCGCTGATTGCGATTACGGTCGGCACACAGCACATCAAGGTCGGCGAGGAGGGGTCGTGCGGGCGTTGCATGCAGTGGCGCGCCCACCTGCCGCCTGCAGGAAGTAGGTGGGCTTCACATCGTCGCCCTCGTCCCTCAGCAGGCGCCGCCCGTGGGGGCCCACGGCGGGGCAGTGGTCCGCGTCGGATAGGTATGAAGGGGAGATGAGGGTCGGGAAATCGGGGTTCCTGGAAGAGGGGATTTTTTTGTCATGGAGAGGGGTGCGGCAATGAAGAGAGAGAGCAGCCGTCGCCGGCAGGGCGGGAACGCAAGCCATGCCTGCCCCTCAACGCCGCCGCGGGCCTCGGGCATCCGCGTTGTGGATTATCGGGGTGTATGCGCTGTCAGTGCTGCCCGTGCGGCGAGTTTGTCATTGACGAGGGTTGCATCAAGCGGCGTGCGCCGGAAACGTGTCGTCATCGGAAGCCCCGCGGCGCCGCGCCGCTCTTGCTCGCCTGTGGATGCCGGCATACACAGCACCAGCCACGGCCACTCCAATTGAAATGAGCCAGAGGAATGCCCAGACGCGGTCCCTGGACGGCCGATCGCTGTCCCTTGCGTACAGGCTGTTTGTCTGAAGCAGTGGCTCCGAGGAGAGTGCCTCATCTTCGGGTGAGCGCCCCATATCTGATACTGTAGCTGTGACAGGAGGGGGCTGCTAGGCGTGCCGGACTGATAGGGGATCTAGCGGAACCTTGTGCAGCGCTGCCCGGACAGTTCAACAGAAGCCGGCAATGTTCAGCGTGGCAAACGTTTTGTGACAAGCGATATCGCGCTGCAGATGACTGCCAAGCACAATGGCATGCATGCGCCGCCGCGACAGGTGGCACGAGGGTCACGTGCGTGTCAGCAGAGCACCTGGCGGGCATCCGCGCCTGGGTGGGCGCGAGTGCTCGTAAGCAGGCATGGAGCAGTTTCTTTGAAGCCTCTTGTCGATGTGCGAGGCCTGTTAGAAGGGATTCCTCCATACGCTGTGGACGGAGCACCAGTGCAGCGCATGCAATGCTGTTGGAATAGTGCCCCGGGGTTCCTTCACCCGCTGTGGGTGGAGCACCAGAGCAGCGCGTGCAATGCTGTTGGAATAGTCCCCCGGGCTCCAGGGAGGGTCAACCCCACAGTGATGAGCAGGTGCGGCTGCGGCGGCGTCAAAGCCACACCCAACAGGCTCCCAGGACTCAACTTCACCGTCATCTAATCTGGTGTCCTATCAGGGTGGTGTTTTGCTGCTCGCGACGCAATCTTTAGCATTGTTGAAGGCCCGCCTGCCGCCAACAGCATGACTCAGAACTCACCCACACCAAGTTACACCACCCCCTGACGGTCAAAGAAGAACCACAATCAATCATTTTGTGTCGCGCGGCAAATTTTGTTGCAAAGCCAAGGCGGGGGAGGGACCTGTGCAGCCGCAACCTTGTGTATTGGAGAACAAGAGAGTGCAGAACAATGACAAACCAGTTGCAATGTAGACAACAGTCACAGCAGCAGCGCCTGCGCCCACTGCTGGAGACGGCGGTGGCTGCGGCCCAACGCGGTGGGACGGGGGCCGCTCGCCGGCTGGGTTCGCACCCAACGGGGCGGCGTGCCCAGCCACGCAGCAGAACGTTGCAAAGCTGCGCCCGGGCGCGCGCACGCCGCAGCCACCGCCTGAAAGCGAGCATGCCGCGGGGTGCGAGCCCCGCCGGCAGCTGCTTCCTCCTCAGTGACCTCCACAGTGGGCCGCTCGCGAAAAGGTCGCATGCAGAGATATGTAAGAAGGGGCGACCCCCGCGTGTGATTGAGTGTGGGCAAACTTGAAAGGCAGCCCCGCCCGTTCCATGCAGCTTGTGCATTCATGCTTGTGCGCCCCTGCGAGCCCTCGCATCCCCAATCGCAACGGGAGATTGTCGTTTGCCACCACGCAATCAATCACATTCGAACCGTTTTTTCAAGCCACCTGCAGCACGCGGTTAGCGTGGCAGGTCTGGCAAAGGGCTGTCACCGACAGAACCTTGCCCAACTGATGCCCGCACTCCGAC